TGAGGCCGCATCTGGAATACCGTATCGAGAACCGGACACCCTATCCTCAGAAATGCATCCTGTGCATTGAGAGGGTTCGAGGGTTAGCCACCGGCATGGTCTTGGGCTTGAAGGGAAAGTAATATGAAGAAAGACATGAAGAGCTAGACCTCTTTTCTATGGAAAGAAATCGCCTTAGGGGTGACCTCATAGAAAGATTTGGGATAATGAAAGGATTCATTGCTGCAAGCTCTAAATGTTTGTTCATTTGAACGCCCGCAGCAGTCACCACGGGACAAAGTCTAAATCTATTAAAACTAAGGGCTCGCCGCGCTGTGCACTTTGGCTTCTAACGAGCCGAGTGGTTGATAGATGAAATCAGCTGCCACAGCACCTGATGGAATTTGCGACTACAGTCTACTTCAAGAGGCAATTGAACATGATTGGAACCCAACTGTACCAAGAGGTAGTACAGAAGCGGGATCTGCGATTGTTTAGGGTTGAAATGCCCCTTGTTTCTCGACTATTCTCCCGTACATAGATCGTACTGGAACAAGTTTCTCAATGGAAAACAGTTGCAAGACGACCACTGAAACCATTTTGAAGCTTTGGGAGACGAAACCTTTTTACCGAAGCAAGAATCTGAACACTTGTTGGGTGAACACCTTTTCTGTCCTGTGATTCCTGACGCGACCCGAAGTAGCATTAGAGGTCAGAAACCTAAACAAACACAAGGCGACTGGCCCCGACGGGCTACACTCAGCCATTATCCAACCCCTGGCAGATATATTGGCACCACCACTTTCAGGACCTTTTAAACGCAGCCTAAATCAGGCCGTAAACCCCAAAGAATGAAAAACCGCCGAGGTTATCCCCGCCTGCTAAATGTTGTCAAACGTCAGTCGGGTTCCCTTTTGCTCTTCTATTTTCACTTCAGTATTATCCATCTCTTCTCATCAACGAATCTGTTTTGACGCCATTAGACCAACTCAGGATCACTATCTTCATTTCTATATCAGTCCAGGTTTAGTAGACCCGTTCGAGCATTTCCGCCTAAATGATGTCAGTGTTACTTGGACTAGAATGTCTTCCATAAAACCTTGGTTCTTCCCCTAAACTTACCTTCTCTTAACTACATGATTATCTTTATTCCTGCTGGTTTGACTTAAATATGTATCGTCAAACTCTTTCTTCTGTAAGATGATTTTTCCCCATCTGACAGAAACGTTCGTATTTCTGTTTTTATTACACGGTCTCTCTAGTGGCAATTGATAGAAGCTGCTTTATTGGTTCAAATAAATCTTTTACTTCCATGACTGTCCTAAACTTTCAGCATTAGTATGAGCAATGACATCAATACTTTCTCTCCCCGCTATCATCGCCTGAGAGCCTACCTAGACTGTTTCTCATTTTACGCTTCTTTTCCGGAGATCTGCTGCGACTTCCGTCGGATCGGATCAAAATGCAGCGGTGAAGAAAATTAAAGTATAACCAAAAAACCAAATCATGATCTTATGGACTCTCTTATCGACTGAACCGTTTCGCTAAAAAGCTCAATGTGAGTCTGCAGGTCCACCCACAGCGATCCCATGCTCCGTGTTTTTTGATTGATGATTGAAGACCTGGTGAGGTCCGAAAGCACTTTTCCCGTCTTGACCCGATCACACTCGTTCAAACAGTGATATTACTCAGAAGCTAGTCGTACTGACATAACTTTATATCAAACATAAATCTCTCAGCAAATAAATATACAAAAACCTTTCAAAATCTCCATCCATTCAATTTTTGTCTTTATCCACCTCCACAAGATGAACGTTTGACATTATTTACCGTGTCCAATACTCGCCGTTTTCATTTCTCGTCCCAGATTGAACTCAATCCTAAATATCATAATTCACTGACATGTATATGCATGTTTAATTATTCCAGTTCTGCCTCTGTGACTTTCCTTCTTCATACGTCCTGATTCACAGAACGACAAACTGTCAGAAATGTGCTACTTTGCTCACCTCTTTTATCGATTCCCGAATGAACAAAAGGTCTATTGATCGCTTTGCGGTTCTCTATGTTTGTCGCCCGTAAACATAATTGCATTCCGCTGTTTTTTTAATCCCAAAAACTCTGTCGACCCAAACGATCTACCATTTATTGAACAAAATGATTGTACACTCCAGCATGCTTCACGACTTTCGTCGTGAAGCATACCATTGTTATTGTTATTTCTATTGTATTGTAGGCCGAACGACGGGAGTTGCCTGGGAATTACCGGCCGTTGTCTCCTGTGCATCTTACTTAAAGTGCTAAAGAAATGGACAAGAAGCACCATAGGCAGCCACCTAACCCAGTACCGACTATTTGCACCGTAGCAGCATGGGTTAGTCAAGGGCAAGTCTTGCCGGTCGATCTTGCTTTCTTTCCTTGAAAAGTAACTGTCAGACTAAACCCCGGTGACCGTGTTGAAGTCTATTATNGCTGCTCTTACTTAAACCAGGGAACCTGCGAATTGCTCCCGGGGTGGTAGACCGGATAGGGGGAAAACTAAGTTTTCGAAACTTCTAGGGTAAAGTAGGAGTCCAGATCTACCTCTACCATGGCCTGCATTGGGGTACCACAGGTCTTGGTACTTGAGCCTTTGCTGTTAGTAATTTTTAATAATGAAATAGCTCAGAAGCTACAGTCTCTGTGCTTCCCTTTTGCCGACGGTGCCGAAATCGTAGGCAGCCCAACGAAGGATGTCATACTGCAAGACTTTAACACGCTCTATAACTGGTCATTGGCCTCGGACCTACCACTAAACGTTGGCAAGTGCAGAAACTTGGTGTCTGAAGCGCACTACCTTAATCCCGATGACTTCCAGATCATTCAGCGCACAAAGACTATGAGGGACCTAGGGATGCTCATTCACTAGTCATTCAAGTCGTCACCACAATGCTGAGGTTGCTGGGAATGCTCGGAGGGTACTGTTGTATCCAGGGCCTCGTTTGTCCTGCTTCCCCTATGCAATGCTTTCGTCCATCCCTACTAAGAGTATGGAGCCGAGGTATGGGCATGTACGCTTTTCAAGCAAACATAATTTGTGCTGCGTCCACTTGAGCTCATAAGTCCAATACACTTATTAGATTGAATTAACGCCGTGATCAGGTCAGGTCAGGTCAGGTTGCACAGGACTGATAGTGACCACAGGCCAATCCCGCGTCCAGAATTCCTTCGGTGGTATGCCCTCAAGTGTGCGTCCACCTCTGCGATTGATCGGTTTATCCTTCTATCTGCAAACAGAGAGAAAGAGAGACTTTACTTCTCGCCGTGTGGGCGAGAGACTTTTATAATTGAAGCGTTCCATATTACGCAAAAACAGTTTACGCACCAAACATTCTATGTCAGGGAAAAGCTCCAACCATCTGGCGTCCGGAGCTTTTTTAAAGACCTGGACACTTGACTGCCAAATCAGTTCCGACGGTAGCTTATTCCAATTATCCACTACCCTAGTGACTAAGAAAGGTGCTCGTAAGTTCATGAGTTTGAGCTCATGTCCACGCGTTGCTTGGTGGGGATCCTCAGTGAAGGTGGACCCTGGATCTAGACCGATCAAATCTTTCTTAATCTTGAATACTTCGATGATGTCTCCGCGCAATCTCCTTTTTTCTAGTGAAAAAAGGCCGAGCGCGTGCAGGCTCTCTTTGTATGTTTTCCCCCGCATACCCTCAACCATCCGTGTTGCTAGTCTCTGGACCCGCTGCAGACAGGCTGCGTCCTTTTTGAAGAAGGGCGACCAAGCCTGAACACAGTATTCTAAGTGAGGTCTTGTGATGGCTTTGTAGATGGGTATAAGTATATCTGCTTTTCTACACGAAACTGCTGACCTTAGTCGAAACAGTTGTCGTCCTGCCGTGTGTGCTGCAGCTTCACATTGGGTACCGCAACTGTAATCTGCATTTACTATGACTCCTAGATCTCTGGCACTAGTTACAGTGTCTACTTCGAACTGCTGCCAGTCACCTAGAGCCTTCAGTGGTTCCTGAGTTCTTGAGAGCAACCGGCTCTTGGCTGCATTTAGTGGCAGATCCCGTGTGGGACCACTAGACCACCTTCGCAACATCCTGTTCCAGTTGTGATCTTCCACTAGATCCAACCGCCTTTACATCATCAGCGAAGATGAAGCAAGGTGAGCTGGTAATTTTTGCTAGATCATTTATGAACAACAGAAAAATAAGAGGGCCTAACACCGACCCTTGTGGCACACCACTAGTGACATGATGGACTAGTGACATTTGTTCTCCCCTGCCCCTGTGATTGCGAAAAAACTTAGCTTGTGTAGAAGCCTTACTGAAATCTAGGTAACATACCTCTACTGTTCTACCTTCTTCGACCCTCTCTGTGGCTTCGTCAAGGTAGCATAAGAGGTTAGTCAGGCACGACCTGTTTTTCATAAAGCCATGCTCGGACACGCTAAGTAATGTGCACTCTAAAAGGTGGGTACAGACATGAGTCCTGATTGTCTTTTCCATGCACTTGCATAGAACACCAGTTAGGCTTACTGGTCTGTAGTGCTCCGGGTTAGATCTACTACCACATTTGTGTCATGCCACCGCTACCGCAGTTTTCCAGTCACCCGGAAGCACACCCTCCTCCGGTGATTTTTGGAACAGTACCGTTAAGGGGTCTGCTAAGATTTGAGCAATTGGTTTCACAATGGCAGGATAGAATGCCATTGGAACCCGAGGCCTTATTTATGTCCATCTGCCCTAACACATTTTGCACATCAAATGCGGATATCTGCGTCTTTCTTATACTCGGCGGAAGAGAGGTCGGGGAGCTAGGTTCTAATATCCCGTTGCCTAGCCTGTGAACCCTTGAATTGAGGGCACTTTTATCACTGGGTGGTCACTTTTATCCATATAAGGGTGAAAAGAGATGTCTTCTACGTCCTTTTGGTATCTAGTAAACAACAAATTTAGGAGAGATGGAGTTTGCCCAGTCCCGAATCTGGTGTTTTCCCTCACGTGTTGCAGGAGGGCTCTGGATTAAATCCAACCCGGGAACACTTCCTCTGGTGCACCCTCCGAGCAGGTCCACTGGATGCAAGGAAGGTTGAAGTCCCCAGCAATGACCAGTTTCTGCTGGGACTGTGCTAATACATCCAGCGCCCTGATTAGTTGCTCATCTTCTTCTATGGTGGCTCCCGGACTTCTGTACACACCGGATATGGTGGCGCTGTTGGTCCTAGAAAGGAGTGAGATAGCACCCATTTATATATTGGGAGTGCAGAATTCTGTGTCCAATCTCCTGTGGGGAGTTTCTTTGCGAATAAGGAGCGCTACTCCTCCACCTTGCACGTGTCCCCCTTGATCCTGTCTGTGGATTTCAAAGCTGTTTGCAGTGGTTTGTGGTATGTGGTCGCTTTCACTTAACCACGTTTTGGAGACAACAATCACTGCAGCTTTGAGTTCCTCAGATGTGACTCCTAGCTCTTATTCCGGATGCTGCACGCATAAGCGCATAGCATAACTAACTTTTCCGGAATTAGGCATTCTAAGCTCTCTACACTTGCTTTTGTCTCGGGCGCAGCACCTGAGATGTGATCCCGTTTTTTGATGGGTCAGTGTTGGTCATTGTCCTGCGACTTCTAAGTTCCGAGTCTGTTGGTTCTACCATGGACGCCCGTCGCAATGGAGTGGACATTTGATCAATTGTCTCTTCATCTACAATTACCGACCTGCCCGGCAAGCAAGTCTTCCATTCCTCTTCTTCCAGTATATCTTCTATGATCACCACCTTGTTTCTGAAGGGAGTGTTTGTCGATGGCTGTGTTCTATGGTTACTAAACCTTCCCTTGTACCCCTTGAACTCTGCCTTCCTATATGGCCTTGGGATGTCCGGAGCTATTCCGTAGCGCCCTTTTGTGCGCTGAATTACAAGGGATGCTTTTGCCAAGAGCATGAACCTTTGTCCCGTCTCTCCGAACTCCACTAGTATCGGCCGGGCCGCAAGCACTACGTTCGGGTTTGACTGCTTCCAAACCCCTACTCTATGTATTCCTTTTATGTGATATTTTGGATCTAAGCCCACCAGTCTAGGGATATCAGTCATTCGGCGGTGGTCCATTTCGCGGCGGGTTATGGACTCCCTGATCATTGGTTCCTCTTTATTGAGGACCAGTAGCGTGTTGCACCGAGGCGCTCTATTTACCTAACAGCCTTGATCGAGGCTACTTAAGGTCGCAAGTTGTGCAGTTCACACTCGATGTGGTGCAGGCTGTTACCCAGAATACCCTGGGCTCCCTTGACTATGCGAAGATTTACTGCCTTCGGCTTAAATTTGATATTTGGTTGCAATTGACGTGTTCCTGGAGCAGGTTTGTCAGGTAATTTTTTCACCACCTAGGCAAACGTTTTGGCTGACCCCTCTGCGGTTATTGTAACTCCAGAATAGATCAAAGAGCAACGCGTAGCCGAAATTGGATCCCAAAACGTCAACAAAACGAACGATCCGGCAAACTTCTACGGTACTGCATTAATAGGCGATCAAATAGGCAAATAAAAACTGTACAAACCTCAAAGTGATCTCGAAACAACTTGAAAACAAGAGCCAAGTGTTACTGTGAGCGTAATTCAACAAATCTGAATGGAAGAAAATGAGCCTGGGTAAGAATAGCACGCTCACCGTCACGCTGCACACGAACGAGCCAAATTTGAGTGCTAAAGTCGCGATTAAATCACGTAGGGTAAAAATTGAACCAGATAAACAAACAAATTCAAATTGTAGGATTGATGTGTAAGGGGAGTGGAACATCAAATGTCTGTGTATATGAGGTGGATAGTGTTTGGTAAATGGAACGTAAAATTCACGAAATGTGGGACCGAGATGGATTGATTGGGCTTTACAAGAAGGATTTTCACAGATCGATCAATACACCGCCCGGCAAAATCCTTCCTCGTGTCACACGATGAGAGGGAAATTCAGGGAAGTAACAATTCTCATCCTAACTACCTATTCCTTACAGCCTTTGTGCCTTTGTTTCGAGCCTATCGTCGTTTTATCCGTCTCCGTCAGCTCTGGAGGTCAGCCACAAGCCGTTTTGCATGACTCACAGTACCTCCTTCGCCAACCCGGAGGATTCCTCAACTGCTTGGTTTCCCAGTTGCTACTGCCTCGTCTCTCTCCAAGTAGCAGATTCGGCGGATATCTCGCAAAATTTTGCCGGCTGCCATTCTCACTTTAACCGTGCGTACGAGCCCATCCTCGTCCGGAAGGCATTCTCTGATGATTGCCAAGGGCCACTCATCCTGCCACAGTCGTTCATCTGCAAGCAGTATTATGTCACCAATTCGAAGCTTTCTTTCTCTGAGTAACCATTTCTGGCGTGCCTGTAGGGCAGGTAAGTACTTTCGGACTCACCGCTTCCAGAAAACTCCCACAAGGTAAGTCGCCTGCCTCCAGCTGCTCGAGTAATACTTCGTTAGAGTTCGTGGTACCGCCAGTCCGTTATTCGGCCTCAACAGCATCGAATCGTTCGGCGTAAGTGCAAGATCCGGGGCTTCACTCGCGACAGGTATCAAGGGCCTATTGTTCAATATGCGCTCCACCTCGATTAGCGCTATGTTTAGGGTCTCGTCGTCGATGGACTGTTGATCACATACATCCAATAACATTCTTCTTACCGACCTTATCATACGTTCCCAAATCCCGCCTCTATGGCTAGCGTACGGCGGATTGAAGTGCCATTGAATAGCTTTGGATGTCAGTCGCTTGTGTAGCTCGCTCTGGTCGACTCGAGACAGCCACCTTTGTAGCTCGTCGGACGCTCCCGCAAAGTTTGACCCGTTGTCGGAGTAGATGTTGCTCGGGACTCCGCGTCTGCCGATCAGCCTTTGGAGAGCCATCAGGAACGATTCAGTGGACATACTGTGTACCATCTTTAAATGCACCGCGCGAGACTGCATGCGGGTAAACAGACACCTGTACCGCTTCACAACCGATCTCCCGCACTTGACCAGCAAGGGGCCGAAATAATTTACTCCTGCCTCCGCGAACGACCACATCCCCGGTTCGAACCCTTAATTCGGGTAAGGGCGCCATCAGCTGCATTCAGGTTACCGCATTTTGAAGACAACAGAACATACATCTACCGATGATCCCGTTCATTGCACTTTTACCACGCGTTATCCAAAATCTCGCCCGATTGGTGTTCTGTAGGTGGTTAGTTCCCACGTGCCCGGTTTTAACGTGGAAGCTGCGTGTGAGCGAGGTGGTGACAGGACTACCGGCCGGCAGGATGATCGAATGTCTAGCATCAAAGGCTAAGGAAGAATTGTCTATTCTCTCTCCCACGCGTAGCAACCCTTCGACCATTATAGAATTCAGCTTATGAAATACGTTTCGTTGGAGTGCAGTCCGTTTTGGGTTCTTTCCCATATTCGTTAATAACGTCATAGTTTCGAGAGAAAACTGTTGCCGTTGTACTAATCTGACGACGAGTTCCGCTCTCATAAGGTCATCCGTCTATAAAGGTCCCACACGCAGCGATTCGTCAGGTCAAAATCCGGTCATAATCATCGCCATCTGTTTAAACCTTATCCANCCTTATCCACCAGGCAACGGAGCGAATCAGTCTGCTCCAGGACGAGAAGCTTTCTAGCTTACGTATCAGGCGAGGTGACGTCGCGTTCCACCGTTATGATTACTCTTTTGTATTCTATCAACTCAATGGGCGCGGAGGGTACAGGAACCGTACTCCGTCATTTGGCGCGGCGGTCAGGAATGTCGGGCCATGGAGCCAATTGGATAGTTTGTCCAAGGATTTCAAGCCTCGAGAGCAGTGGTCGGATGGGTTATCCGCCGATTTCACGTATTGCCACTGGTTCACTCTGGTCTCTTCGTGCACTACAGCCAGATGTTCGGAAACAAATGTACTGAACCTAGTACTGACGTTGTTCACACAGTGTGTTACGATAGCAGAGTCGGTCCAGGAAATGACACGATCCTCAAACATACGGAAGCATTGTCACAACTGCTTA